GAGGGACTCCGAATTGAGCTTTGTAATTGGTGTCGGTTTACAAGCCAAAAGAACTTCTGTTTCCTCACCTAACAGGGCCTCAGTCACGGCCTAACCCCTTTTAAGAGAGGGACCAGAAAAAAGGAGGTGGATTTCTTGCGCCCTTGCCTTTCAGTCAAGCTTGTACAGCACGCTGCAGACTTCCCGGGGCGGCTGGGCTGTTGCCTCTGGAATAAACCAAAGTTTATTGAGTTCCTACTATGTGAAGACTTCCTCCCTTCATTATTTGGGGGGCGGGGGCAGTTCTTCACAAAGATCTGGCCAAGGAAGGGCATTCTTCCCATTTTGCAGATAAAGCAACTGAGGAACAGAAAAATAATTGATCATGGTTGGGTGGAAAATTAGCTTCCAGCCCAGGTTCTCTGAGTCCTATGACCTAGGAACAGTTTACTAATCAGTTTGTGCAACCACAGATTAACCCTCCTTCCCGCACCTTTTGCAAGTAATATCACATTAATTTTTGGAGTTCTTCAGATTTCTGATGCTTCTTCCAAAGTGAAAAATCTCCCTCTGAGCCAACCCTCCTCCAAGACTTCAATTCTCCCCAGTTGGTGGGTTCATGATTCTCTGGGGGCCAGGAAGTGGAATGTAATTAAACTGGATCACATTTACAGTTCGGCTTCTGCTCAGTATTTGAATACAGCAGGCACCAAAGTGTGACTGATGGGGTGCTGGGTGGGTGGGTGAATTAGTGGAGAGGGGGGCAGTGAATCTGGAGGAAGCTGTGGGGGCAGTAGAGTAGGGTTTTGATATGGGTGTGGGAAGCAAGCTGGAGAGGGAATGGTGCTGGACCCACCCAGCTGGACCCCTGAGGTGAAATCCCTCCAAGAAAAAGGAGGGTCTTGCTTTTTTTTTTTCTGGTTGGGCTGTAGCTCTGACCCAAGTTCTGAGGGCTTTGCTGTGTCATTCTTTCCCACTCTCCAGACCGAGGAGATTGGTCCACCCCAGTCCTTTTTCCTGTGCAGGTTTCAGACCTTGTGATTTACTGTACACAAACCCCACTGGTTTTCCACTGCACGTAGCAGTTTTTAAAATTCGAACTTGTTAAAGGGTTGCCCCTCTCGTTTATTTTCTGTTTAGGAAACAGCCACTCATGCGTGCTCCTTTCTCATCGTCCTGTAATCTCCCAATCCACCTTTCTCTTATCTAGTTACCCCAAATTGGCCAATCTACTTTCTTGATTTTGTTTCTTACTGTTCAGAGTAACTGGTGAAGGACAAAATTACTTTTATGGCTAATCCCCCTCTACCAGCAATAAGTAATAATAAAAGTCCAACCTGCCAATTGCTTGCACACATGGGAGGGGGAGAGGAGGTTTTGTAGTTTGCTTGCAGGTGGTGGGACAGAAGTGGTGAAATATCTGAATGCAAAGACAAAAGTAGTTAGCACGGTTAGACCAGAAAACAAACACACACAATTAAAAACCCAAAACACTGTACAAAAATATATTGAATAGAAAGGTACTATGTTCTATTGCAGGAGAGCTGTTCATAATTCCAGATACCTGAACCAGAAGGGGGATTTAGGAATAATATTAAAAGAAAAACAGCAAAATCCTCATGATCCATTGCTCATTTTCTCTGTAGGGAAGGGCTCTGCGAAGTTTCCATGACTGCAGAACTAGGACCAAGGTGCTAGCAAGTTCACTGCCCTGCCCAGACCACTGCATGGCCCAGGGCTCCTCTCTGAACCTCTGGGGGCGTTCAAGTTTTCATCACTGGAAAAGTGGAGAAAAGTACACTTTTTTTCCCTACACTTTTCAAGAAGTCAAAAAGCTCTAATGGGAACAAATCAGCTTTGATAAGTAGAAGAAACTACGCAAAAGGTAAAACCCACCTGTGTTACTAGGTGGTGCCAGATGAGAGGAGCATATGGTCTCCTTGAACCTTGTCTGAACGTATACAGCTCTCTAGTCACCCTCCGAGATGTTCTGAGAGACTAGGCAGAACTGTTCCTCTTCTTCCTGCACTGGACATCGCAAGCCGCTCTCCTAAGAAGCACCCGCTTAACGGGAAATTCGAGTGCCTGGTCACCAGAGAAAAATTTCTCCCCATCGCTAAATGCTTGAGAACACCTGAGAGTCCAACTTTTAGCGTTTGTTTCACAGTAATTGCTCAGCTTTGTTCCCACCTCTCTGAGCTTGACTAACCTCTAACTTTCTAGTGGGCTTCTGGAGAAATAACTTTAGAATTGGTTCTGCAATTCTTTCCTTTCACAAATATTTATTGCATGACTCTTCTCTGCTTGGACAATGGCGCCCAGTTTCATAATCTGTCCCCTAATCCTATCCTGAGAGGCACTGATAATTTAAAGAAAGGAGACTATGTCATTTTAAATTTAGTTCATGAAGTACAATGCGGCGTTGAGTTACAAGACTAATTTCTTCTTTCACTATATTGAAAAATTGACTGTTATTAGACATTTATGTAAAGATTTTTTGAGGAAGACGGTAGAAAGTTATTTTTCTTTACAAATACATTCATACATATTTTAAAGTCATCTGTATTTTAAAAGGGCTTCGTTTAAAAATATGCCTAGAGTGAATGTATTGCACCTAACTCTTTTAATGGCACGTATTTCCGTTCTCCCTCAAATCAACTGCAATAGCAATTCACCCGTAGAAAAACGTAAATGATGTAGATGATTTGGCGACATGCCAGCCTCACCCACAGTGTGAATGTTAAGGAGAAACAACTTTGCACTTTGAAGATGAGCGATTCTAGCTACAAGACTATTTACAGATCGTTTCGCTGCTAACCCAGCTTTGTGGTGCAAGTTAACCCCTGATTTAGTCTTGCAGGAGAAAGTACGATCCTGCCTTGCACCCGATTAAAGAGGCTTCATTTCCGCGCGCAACTTTGGGTTAATGATTGAGTCGCAGAAAAACTAGTGTTGTAGACAGCGTCAGGACCAACATTATTAGCCTTTTATTTCTAACTTGTCGCCGCCTGTTACTTTCTCTTATAGACAAAGCTTCCCATACGAGTATGTCTTATGCTTGTTTGCTAAACGCAATATAAACGACGATTTCAATCTCACACTTCGGGGTTGGCGGCAGGATAAGCTACCCCGCTGCACCGAAGGCAGCTCGGGAGGGTTCTGGCGAAGCGCCGCAGGGAGGAGCGCGGCGGCCGCGAGGAGGCGGAATGAGCAGAGCCGCGGCGCTTCGGCCAATCAGCATACACACCGCCTGACAACCGGCCAATCAGCGGGTGCGGATCTCGGGGGCCAGAGCGGATAATACTAGCAAAGGGAGCGGCGGCTGGCAACTGCAGCGAGGGGCGCTGCGCAGCACGCAGCTGCGTGCGCCCGCCGGCCCGGGAGCCCGAGATCTGAACCAGGCCTGGGTGCCCCAACCTCCTTGCCTCGCCTGGGTTAGAAGAAGCGGAAAGCAGCTTTGGAGAGGTGAAGTGCCCGGGGCTGCCAAGGACACATCATAACTTTACAGAGTCGGAGATGTGCTTAACGAGGCAACAGAGAACTTGACTTCTCCAGCCCTTTTTCTCCCTTTCCCACCCCTCTCCATCCTGTGGGCTCCGGGCCTTCAACTGTCAGCCCCGATTTCGTGGCTGGGTGTGGCGACCCCCGACTTCTGTTTTCAAGCAGAGCTTGCAGCCAAAGGCTGGAGATCTTGCCTCGGCTGCTAGCAGGGGCCTCAGACGCTCGGTGAGTGCTGTGATGTCGCGGAGGGCAAAGGGTGCGAATCACCTTTCTTTATCTATTTTTTTTTTGGATGCCTTGCCTTAAAGATGCAAACAATACCTTCTGTATATAGAACACATGTGGCCCAGCCCTGCTGGGCTCAAGGGCTGTTGATGTTGATGCGGGCAGGCATCTGCACTCTGCGCCCCTTGTTCCTACAGAACTCTTCTGACAGCAGAGCCCCTTTGACTTATACTTGATTATTTGAGGGAGGGATAGTAGTGCTGAGAAGAACTAAGCATAGCAAGGTGCTTGCATAGGCAGAGGAGAACCATAGGCAGGGGTGCAGGGTGGCACTTCTCTGGATCTCAAGGGTCCTTATGATCAAAAGGAAAAAACTTATTACACGTTTATATATCGCGATCGTAGTAGCTGGGTATGGGCAAGCCTGACAAATGGCCTAGGCCGACCTATTTGGACACAAAACTGTTATTTCTGTGATCAGGATATAACCCAGGGATCTGTCCCTAAAGCATATATAAAGCCAGAGAGGGTTGTGGTTAAAGGTCAGGTGCTCATAGAACACTTACAATTTAATAGCCTTATTGGATTGGGTATTCCTGGGGCCCTAAAAGATCAGAAAGGAACATGAGGCCTGGATGTGTGGGATATGTAAGGAACAGGACGACCCAAGATGCTAGAGGTGGGCAGACCAAGAACTCTCGGCCCAAGACTTGGGGGCCATGCCTGATGGCAACTGGTGGGTCTCTGGGAATTTTCGTATCTCCTCAGTGCACAGGAAACAACAGAGGCCCGAGCAAGGCCCCGCGCCATGGCCGACCGGCAGGCGGGTCTGGCTGCCGGGGACTGGGAGATCGACGTGGAGAGCCTGGAACTCGAGGAGGGTGACCGCGGGGCTCATCCGCCAACGCCTCAGGGGTCCAGCCCGCCGCCGGTCGACGGGGACGGCGAGGAGGACGAGGACGAAGACGAAGATGACGATGAAGCGGAGGACGAGGGCGACGGCGAGGAGGCAGGCCCGTCCCCAGGGGTACCGGGTCGGCCGGAGCAGAGAGTGGGACTGAAGTCGAGGCCGCTTCCGGCGTCCCAGGCCTCGTCCGCCGCGGCCGGTCCCCCAGAGCGCTGCGCTAACGCCGGCAGCGGCGCGGAGCCGCGCAAACTGAGCCGCACGCCCAAGTGCGCGCGTTGCCGCAACCACGGCGTGGTGTCCTGCCTCAAGGGCCACAAGCGCTTCTGTCGCTGGCGCGACTGTCAGTGCGCCAACTGCCTGCTGGTGGTGGAGCGGCAGCGCGTCATGGCAGCCCAGGTGGCGCTCCGGAGGCAGCAGGCCACCGAGGTGCGTACCTGTCCGGCCCGGGGCGTACTCCACCGGGCGTCCTGCGCCGCGAGATGGTCGGTGTGGGGTAGGGGGTGGAGGGACGTGGCTGCTTCCTCAAGCCGAGACCCAGGGCTTCGCGGCGCCTGGCAAGTCCTGGGACAGGTGGTGGCTTTAGCATCGGGAGGGAGGAAGCTAGGGGTATCGCTGGGGAAGAAAAATGTTTGTATTAAAGAGTGGACAGAAAGTGGTTTGGCCCATTCCGAGCTTTACGGGAAAGGCAGTTTATTTTTATTAAAACATACTTTGGTGGTTGGAGAGGGAGGAAGAACCCCCCGCAGTCCTTCCACCCGGATCCCGGGCGCGCGTCTACCGCGCTCTCGGCGCTGTGCGGCTGCGCTGTCGGCCGCGGAGCTGCGCGGGGCACGGAGCGCGCACGTGCTTGCGTGCAGCGGCTCATTAAGCCGCGCGTGCTGCTCCTGGTACAGGTGGGGCCGAATGAGGCGTGCCTTCCCCTCTAGGTCGGTAGCCTGGAGCTCGGACCCAAAAGCCAGAGGGGAGCCTCCTCTCGCCCTGTTAGGGGAGCCACAGTTTCCTTACATGGAGAGAGGCCCTTCCTGAACCTTGAACGTTAGGTTTCCACGAGCCCAGGTACACGGAGAACTAGGAAGAGGCTTCCGGCGGGTGAGGGCTCCTGTCTCAGGCCCTGGGAGGGGAGGAGTTGAGCTTTACTCTTGGTGGAGAATGGTTCTCCTTACATGCTGGAAGCCTTTCCCTGATGATAAAACTCTGAGGGCCTGGCGGTTCACCCCGGATTCCTAGGTGGCACTGACCGGGGCTGGAACCTGGTTTCAGCCTTCTCTGTCCACTGTGTGTGTGTTATACCATGGGCCTTCGGGTTCTCTGGGGCCTGCTTGGTGGGCTGAGGGGATGGCAGGGTCTAGAATCCTACTGACCAGTTAGTGAGGGGTCCTCTTGCTCCGGGACTCCAGCTGCCTGCAGGGGATTTGTGTGTTTTCGTGCACTTTCACGAGCCCCCTCGTCCAGTGAACAATCTAGAATTTTCAGCCAGACCCAGGCGATTCCCGACCTTCAAACCTCTCTGTTACTTATCTGAAAACGTGCCCAACCTTCCCTGCTGAGGGGAGAAGCCAGCACTGTACAAGTGCCTAATATCCTGTTTGGGCGCTGATGAGGACACGGACCGGCCCTCCGCAGCTGTCTTTCTGGGCCAGGGTCCTGGTTTCTTGACTGTGTCCTTCTGGCATGGGAAGAACCTGGGGTGACTAGCAAAGCAGAGAAAACCAGAACCATGATATCCAGTTGGTGAATTTGGATCGAGCGTCTAGTTTTCCCTGGAACACAAGGGCGTTGATACCAATTTTGTAGGAGCCATGTTTCAGTAGATGTAAAAATAAATAGGTAAACGCCAGTAAGATGCCCCTTTCCTATCCCTTCTCTTTCAGGCTTTCAGGTCATTATTGACTGTTTCCTCTGTTTGCAGGACAAGAAGGGGCTTTCTGGGAAACAGAATAATTTCGAGCGCAAAGCTGTGTATCAGAGGCAAGTCAGGGCACCCAGCTTGCTGGCCAAAAGCATTCTAGAAGGTAAAGCAACATGTTATTCTTTAGTTTTTTAAACCAAGTTCTAAGTGATTCTCATCATTCAGGCTTATGGCATTTTTATTAACATGTGAAAGAGTAATTTGAGGGGAATGTACTTTTTATTAGATTTTTTTCCTTAGTAAGGAAATCAGGACTTGGGAAAATGACTCTCACTTACTCCCTGAGGTTTTTTTCACTGATAATTTTGTGGTCTGCTAGATAGTTAATGGGTCAATGTGGAGTACATATGAAATTTGCCCGAGTGAGGGACGTACAGAGATAGCCTGCTGAGTGATCTCTGAGCAGATGTCCTGGAAGGAAAGGAATAACAAAATTCATTTTTTAATGTATCTCTACTTCTGGCCTGGAGAGACTGTTGGGGTGACTCTAGCAAAGCTAGAGCCAAACAGATTAAGTTAAATGAGGAGTTTAACAGCTACCCACACTGACAGATAAAGACTGCTAGCCTAGATAATTCAACTTTTAATTCTACTTTTCCCCCTCATTATCTTGTTTTATTTCCTGGATTATCTAGATAACTTGCTGTTACTTCACACTTCATTTTCCATTTTTTGACAATTGAGATTGTAGAATCTGGAAAGTTTTAGAATCAAATGAGAAATGGAAGTTGATTTGAACAGTGTCGAATCCAATGGTGTCTTTTCACTTTTTCTAAAGCCTAGAAATACATTAATTTTCTTAAAATATTTCTGATTTCTAAAAGCATCTATCTTTGGCTATGGAATTTCTTGGAAAATTACGCATTGACTGACTTTTACCATTTAGAGGAAAGGGAAGTTTTTATTTGCTGTAATCAGTGCCATTTCATAACATTCAGATTGAAAAGTAGATTTCAGAAAAGACATTTGAATTCTCTTGTGTGACTTGTGAATTGAGGTGGTTCTGGACAGATTTGAGTTTGCTCATGATTATCCTGTCTGTGTACTTATGACCTCAGAATGGTTTCTCATGCATTAAAAATGAATTTGGTTACAAACTGGGTAAATAGATTTATATAATAGGAACCACAATGATAAATTGAAATTGTGCCAAAGCAACTTGAGAAGTGGGAGGAATAAATGGAAGTAAATTCAAGTAAATAGCTTCCTGGCAAAATGTTACCATAGAAATGGAAACATTAATTTTCAAATGTTATTTTATTTGCAAATGAGTTAGGATGGGTTTGTTACTATGTAAACACAAACATCACAATTGATCTGTCAAACAAATTTGATAGTGGTGAGTGCTTAGGGATGATGAAATACTCAATGTATTTATGCTGCCAGGAATTCAATTTATGTTACATTAAGTTTTGCTTTTTACTTTGTCCCTATTCATAGAATGTACAGTGACTTGATCTATGTTGTAATAATTGCTTGTTCAATTTAGTAGGGAATCTCTTACCCTTTTTTCCCCTTTCTCTATTTTTGTTTGTATTGGTAGTTAGGCTAAGGGCTTGGTTAAGTTGTTCCTTGTAGAGTCCATTTGACTGGTAAACAGCTCCTTTCAATTTTCTATGCTTCTCTATTTCCTTTAATCTTTTCTCTTTCTCCTCACTAATCTGCTTTAACTCTCTTTTTTTCCTAGTTCTCCTTGGATTATTCCACAACTGTAACAGTGTGTACATAATGAGCCATCTTTAGAAAATAAAAGTGACGTCAGCTCTAGGTATAGATATCATTTTTAATAATGGAAAAAGATGTGGAGAGTAATAAAGCATTGATTGAAGCAAATTGAACAGTCTTGTCTTTCAAGGTATAGGAGCATGGGAAGAATATTAAAATTTTAGCCAGTAAAATATGCCTGGTAAAGCTAACAAATAAATAAACAAAAAGTTGCAATATGATTATCCTTCCCACTAAAGGCTACTATTTAAAATGAACCTATCTATGCTTTGTTTTCTGTCTAAAAATATCAGTGTTCTAGAACTGTAAATAATTGTTCTGCTGATCTGTGGTGTCTCTCCTGCCTTCTAGATTTCCAGATTTTTCTTCCCTAGATGTTAATGACTTTCATGTGCAATGCTTGCTTATTTTAGGCTACCGCCCCATTCCAGCAGACACTTATGTGGGAGGGAGTTTACCTCTACCTCCCCCTGTAAGTGACCGGATGAGGAAAAGGCGGGCCTTTGCTGATAAGGAGTTGGAGAACATTATGCTGGAGAGAGAATATAAAGAGAGGGAAATGCTGGAAGCTTCCCAAGCTGCTGCCTTGTTCTTGCCCAATCGCATGGTGCATGGACCTGAATACAGCTCTTACAGAAGCACCTACAGTCCCACACCAGTGGAACCACCAAGCAAAGACTTCTGTAATTTTTTGCCCACCTGCCTTGATCTGACCATGCAGTATTCAGGATCTGGGAATATGGAACTAATTTCTTCCAATGTTAGTGTGGCTGCGACTTACAGACAGTATCCTTTGCCTTCGAGATTTTTAGTTTGGCCCAAGTGTGGCCCCATTAGTGATACACTCCTCTACCAACAGTGCCTACTAAATGCCACCACCTCAGTGCAGGCCCTGAAACCTGGGGCAAGCTGGGACTTAAAAGGAATACGAGTTCAGGATGGACTTGGTGCAGAACACGACATGATGTCACCCAAACTGGAAGGCTCTTTGGTGCTGCCTCACACTCCTGAGATCCAGATCTTCAGAAATGACCTTCAGGGTCACCAGGCTATCCCTGAGAGGTCTGCGTTCTCCCCACCCCAACGGAATTTCTCTCCAGTTGTTGACACGGACTCTGTGGCAGCTCAGGGGCACGTCTTAACCAAGATCAGCAAAGAAAGCGCCAGGCACCCTCTGCCACTTAAGCATAATCCATTCCACTCATTATTCCAGCAAACTCTTACTGACAAATCAGGTCCTGAGTTGAAAACATCATTTGTCAAAGAGGCCTTTGAAGAGGCCCCTAAGAAACACAGAGAGTGTTTAGTCAAGGAGAACCAGAAGTACACATTTACAATAGATAGATGTTCTAAAGACCTTTTCGTAGCCAAACAAGTTGGAACAAAACTCTCCGTGAATGAACCACTGTCGTTTTCTGTTGAGTCTATTCTTAAGAGGCCATCGTCTGCCATCACTCACGTCTCTCAGTGAAAGGCTGTTTAAATGGAAAGCTGGATTTTCTGCAGTTTCAGAGGGCCTTACCAGCCACTAATTTTTTTAAGAAAAATGTTAAAATGTTTGTATAAAGAAATGTCTAATGTAAATGATGATGATTAAAAAATTCTATATATTCTTATGCATGTACTTTTTCTCGCCACATGAATATATTTAAAGATGGAAATTGCTTATGTGCAAATTGTAAGGTTTCTGTGCTTTGCACAGCATTTCAAAGAGTAATAAAATTGACACTGTCTTCTAAAAGTCCAGTATTTGTTGAAGTAGCTGTTTCTATTCAAAGAAAAAGCTAGTGTTCCTGAAATGTGTTCTTCATTTTTCTGATTCTCTGTGTTTGCAAGTATTCTTAATGATCACTGGGGACCATAGGCAAACCCTTCTATTGCCTTTGTTTTGCATTTTGGAGGCATGTGTAAATTTAGGTATTTAAGACTTTGAGGAAAACATACCTTTCTTTTAGGAGACAATCATATGGCTTATAGAATCTTATTTTCATGTGATTGGATGAAATTGAATTAATTTGAGGAGAGATCGAGTTTAATATTTTATTTAGGATGACATGGATTTTTGGAATGAATCTTTTAACTCTCTGTGGGTCCAGCTCCTTTCCTGATGGGATGTGTGTGCAGAATCTTTAGTGTCCTTTTTAGATTGAATATTCTATGACACTTGCTTGGGTTGCTGGGGACCATAGGGCAGGCGTTCTTATAAGGTGTAATCAATTCAGCCCATGATGGTGCATGTTGAAAGCCCCTCACCTCTTGTGTTACTTCACTATTTCTTAAGGATTAGAAATAGTCATTTAGAGACAGCCACAGCCACCGCTCTCAGCTGGCTGTGGAGAGTATCAGCTTTACCTATCTGTGTGTTCACAGTGACCAGTATAGCCCTCTTCTGAGATGAACACATTTACTATTCCAGTTTCTTCAACTGCCAGTTGCTGAAGCTTGCAGATACTTATCATAGCATGGGGGTGGCTTCTTGAGTCTAAAACCTTCTCCATCACTTAATTCAACAAAATGTTAACTGTTGTTCCTTTAGAATGATAAAATGAGAATAAGATGTTTTTGAGAGTATTAAGTTTACCCTTGAAGACATCATCTGTAGACCCCAAATCAAGTTCTGAGATGCTAGTCATTTCCATACAGAAAATCAAGAACTAAATATTTCCCTTTTAATACTGCCATGGGGTGAGTTTTAATTTCCTATCCTCATTTGAGTAGCATGCATGTAGGGTGGCATAAGGAATATCCCAAGAAGTTTGTCAGTTTAAAGAGTTTGTCTTGGTTTGGAAAACATTTAAAGTTATTTAAAAATGAGCTTGCTACTGATGAGCTTATGTAAACCTCCAGGGATTCTCTGAGTTGTTGCTTAAAATTGGTATCTATTTCAAATACAACAAGCCAAAAGCCTTAGATTTATTTTCAGTTTGTACTTTTGAAATAGTACTTGGTTTTGTTGAGTCATTTTTTTTTTAATTGCAAAAGCCAGGGAGAATGGAAATTTGCCAGAGGAGAAGAAAATGAAAGTAAGCAGAGATCCCATAACTGCTTGAGATTATCATTAAGTGGAATAATGTCCTTGAGCCATGAATGAGTGAGTGCCCTGGTGTCAGAACTAATTTCGACTGTGGTCCTGCCACCTCCTCTCTCTTTCCCTTCATCTCTGCTTTATATATTTATTAAGTGATATCTTCCTATCAAATTCATTTTTGCTGATGCAAATGTAATAGGGAAAAACACACTAGAATAAAGCTGATAAAAACATCCCAAGGAGGATTTTCCTCTCTCACACACGCTCTTTTTAAAATGTATTTTAGTATTTGGAATATTTATATTTGTCAATTTTTTCCTTGTGTTCGGTGAACATTTTGGAATTTCTTTTCAGATCTTTCTATATATCAGCTTAATCTCATTAAGTGAATCCAGTTGGCTGTGGGTATTAGTGATTTTTCTCACATTACCAGCGACCATAATTTTATTGGTCTTCAGCATTTATGAGGGTCAGTACTTTCCTCAGCAAACTTATTGTTATACTTTGCATTAGTTCTGCTGTAATGATGAATAATTCTTGGAATTTCAAACATATAAAATCTACCATCAGCCATTCAAGAAGAGCTTTGTACTTCGTTCTTTGTTTCTCATTATTTCATGTCCATGAAAGCGACGATTAGACTATATGGAGCCTTCAAAGAATGCTGTCATTGACACATTAAATCAAATGTGGTTTAAGCTTTTTCTATGTTCAAGGCAATAAATGGACTTGTTTTTAATAATTTTTAAGACCATCAAGAATATTAAAACATGGATATTTTTCTCAACTCAATAAAATAATTAATGTAATGACATACAGATAAACTGATTAGACATTATTATTTTTTGCTCAGTTTGCAGTTCTGAATAGTTTACAAAACTGCTTCAGTTATTTGAGACTCTCGATAAGTGCAGGTTCTGATTCTGTATGCCTCAGGTGGACCTGAGAGTCTGCATTTCTAACACACTCCCAGATGCTGCTGTTGCTGCTGCTGCTCTTCAGATTGCACTTTGGAGTAGCAAATTTTTCTGTCACTTTAGTTAGCATCCAATACACTGTTTGGATTTGGGCTTCTCATACATTGGAGTTGTCATGCATAATTTCAGATACATGAGTAATTAAAAAGTCTTTCCAAATTTGGAGAATGAATGTCACAGTAGTGTACCATAGTGTAAATTATTGATGATTATCAGTGATTGACACAAATACATCACTCTGGTTGGGGATCTTGATAATGGGGAGGAGGGCTATACAAGGGTCAGGATAGGGGGAATATGGCAACTCTCTGTACGTTTCCCTTACTGTTGTCTATTCTTTAATCAAAAAAAAAAAAAAAAAGGCAGTTCCTTTTAATCCTTGTAGGGCAAGATCTGAGCAAAGGCATATATTTAGACATGTTGTTTCCCTTAATTTTTCCCCTCAAACCTAGACTTTTTAATTTGTTTAAAAAATATTTTAAGTTGTGGTAATTATCCCACACAATGTAAAAGCAACCTCTGTGGCCCTTTTAGGTGTACAGTTCAGTGTACTCGGTACATTTACATTGCTGTGCATCCTCCACACCCCTCACTTCCAGTTATTTTTTTATTTTGCAAAAGTGAAGCTCTGTCAGTAGCACAAACCCTACCCCCACCTCCTGGCAATCATCTTTCTAATATTTGTCTCTTAGCATTTGACTACTATTATCAGTGGAATCTTACTATATTTGTTCTTTTATGACTGACTTTGGTCAGAGTAGTGTCTTTAGGTTAATCCATATTGTATGTAGCATGTGTCAGAATTTCCTTCCTTTTGCAGGCTGAATCATATTCTGTGTGTGCATGTACTGTACTGCATTTTGTTTGTCCACTCTTCTGTTGATGGATCTTGGGTTGCTTCCATCTTTTGCCTATTGCAAATGGTGCTGTTGTGATATGGGTATACAAATAGCTCTTCAACCTTCCTCTCACTTTCATAGTGAATCTCTGCCTATTTTAAAAGAAAAAAGAATATAAGTGAAAGCAGTTCCCTTACGTTTTAATCCTTGTTTCTCATCTTTAGTAAATCGGTTTTCTTAAATATGTATTCCTCTTTCACTATTCCCCCTCCCCCTGAACATGGACCATCCCCACTCCTCACCAAGGTAAGACTGCTTTGTTCACAGAGGCCCCAGTATCAGTTGTGCACCTGTTAATATGTGTTTAAGTGTGAGTGTGTTACCATATCATCTGAATGTTAAACTGTTACACAGTTATGAAATTATGTTGAGGGAGAGTTGACACTAGCATGTGTGAAAATGATGTGGGAGTTATAGGGTATTCTAGGACTCAAAACCAAACAAGAGGGTGTCATGGGTATAAAAATTGCTAATAAAAATGGGAGTCCATTTACCCTTTCCACATCAAGAAATGCCAACTACAGTGTTTTCCTCTACTCATCACTATCCTCCATCAGATTATATCAGGAATTTATGTCTAGTTCTGGGCATTGCATTTTTAATGGAAACATTAATAGAATTGTTTCCATAAAAGGAATATGAGGATAAGGATGGTGAAAAGTGTACAGCTCTTGTCTAATCTGTACATCTTTAAGGACTTTGAGCTAAGGGCATTGGGAATGAAGATTTGGAGAAAAGATATCTTTAGGGAAAAACATTTGATTTATTTATTGTAGATGTGAAATGTTGACTTTAAAAAAAAAAGAAAAGATTATTTAGGGCCCTCCCTGGTGGCACAGTGGGTTAAAGCACAGCACTAAGAGGCTTAAGTCACTTCCGCATGAGTTCGATTCCCGCCTGCCCCGGAGGTGACCACATGGCGTGGCAGACCTCTCCTGACCCACCCGCTGCTCCCCTCAGCAGTGTACTTCGTCACTCTGCCTGTTTTGCTCCCCACTCTGTCCCTGGTGAATCCTCTTACCGTCCGCATCTCTGGCCTGTTCCCCAGTTCTGTATGAATAAATAAATCTTAAAAAAAAAAAGATTATTTATGCGTACAAGAGCTGTGATAATGGCCAGAGGTATGGCGTTGAGAGGATTCACCAGAAACAGAGTGGGGAGCAGAACAGAGGATCAGCTGAAATACACTCTGGTGGGAGCAGTGGGCGGGTTATGATAGGTCTGCCGTGCCTTGTGGGTCAGCTACTCAACTGGGGGTAGAACTTGTGCTGCAGTGACTGAAGATATGTTCATAGTGCTGTGCTTTAACCTGTTGCACCACTAGGGAAGGCCCTGAAATGTTGACATTTTTAAGGAGGATTTAATGTACCTTGGGATTATCTAGAAGAAGCAATTAAAGCCAAGAAGAGATGTTACAGGGGGGTGAGATACAGCTCGATAAAAAGGGAGGCCTCCATGGTGGCCTAGGGGTTAAATCTAGGTGCTATACGCTATAACCTGAGTTCGGTTCCCACGTATGGTGCAACAAATCTCTCCTGTTTCACCCGCTACTCTCCTTAGCAGTGGTTTTCAATAAATCTGCTTGTTCTGCATCTCATTGTCTCTGGCAAATCCTTTCACCCCAGCACCTTTGGCCCACATCCCAGACACACACACACACACACACACACACACACACACACACACACACAAACACCCTGCTGCCACCCCCTACACCCTCCCCTCCGCACACACACAAATGAAGACTGTCTTTCAGTTTAGGTTGCCCATAAATGGACTGGCCTACCTTGTGACAGAAGAATCTTGCATTTGGTGTGGAATTGAATTAGCAAACAGGAACT